ACAATATAACAAATCTATAAAGGAGTGTTGGTTTCAAGCACCAGCGGCTCAGTTTCTATAGATACTCTGCGTCGAATTACATGTAAGGTACACAGCTGTTGCTTGACGCAAGCTTTACATTCAAGTATAAATGATTCTTTTTCAAAATAATTTAATTATTATATTATTTTATTATTATTATTATTATTATTATTATTATTATTATTATTATTATGTGACATTTCTTTGTGATTTGTTCATGTTATGAGCATCATCATATCACACCTTATTTGGGCAAACCTCATTTTGGCACATATCAGCCTGATATTAGAGGTTTTTATATTGTCAATGCAATTACTACAAACCAACTTTATTAGAAGAGTTTTTGTTTGTTTTTTATAAGTCGCCTTGTTTGATTCTAATAATGTATATATCTTTGCTATCACAATTCAATGTTATACTCGACTAATCACAAAAAATCATAAAACACAGAATGTAAGACTATTATTATTAATATTATTGTTATTTTTATTTTGATTGTATTGTTATTGTTGTTGTTACAGTATTATTATTATTATTATTTTATTATTATTATTATTATTAATAATAATAATAATAATATTAATATTATTATTATCAGTTCGATATACTATTACGGTAATAAGATAAAGTAGTTTCTGTAATATTCTTTATTTTGACAACAATATTATGATACAAAATAGAATAATATAAATACTGTAAATGGAATAGACTATATAGCACCTTTAAGTTTAATTATATGAATCCATGCCAGTGTTGCTAATCATAATCTCATTAGTTGATTCACTAACACGAGTTTAAGGAAAAACGACTTAACAAACTTATGAAATGAATATCTTTTCATTATACTCTTAAATTGGATGCTAATAACAATAATGAAATCGTAAAACATCTGTATGCGACAAGAATTGTTTTGATCTCCGTCTCATGTTGCTTCTGTTCTGCGTTTGTGTTTGTCATCGATGAACTTTCATGACGTGGGGCGCGATTGTAAATAAAGCCACGTAATAAAGGCTCTATTCCAATGACAGTTGGTCAAATTATTATTTACACTTGGTCCTCATATTAATGTAATGAATGGTCTTCCATTTCTATAGCGCATAATACAATGTAATGTCTCTATGCGCTTTTATGCAGTGTCAAAACCAAATAAAGAAACAACATTAAAAAAGAACAAAGAAAAATTATTATTGAGAAAAAAAGATGCGATTTAAATCAGGATTTATAAAGGTCTAAGATGTTGATGACCTTATGAAATTGGGTAAGTCGTTTTACAACTTATGTGCAGCAACAGAGAAGGATCTATTAGTATTAGGCCTAAATGCGAAAGAGTGAAAAGGGTGAGTGAAAGAGTGCCTATCATTCCTGATAGAGTGAATTCATTCTATTCAGAGTGAATTTACTATTTTTTCATTATTTTAAGAATAATATTCACTCATGTAAGAGTGAATATTATTCTTAATATTATATTAAGAATAATATTCACTCATGTAAGAGTGAATATTATTCTTAATATTATATTAAGAATAATATTCACTCATGTAAGTGTGAATATTATTCTTAATATTATATTAAGAATAATATTCACTCATGTAAGAGTGAATTTTCACTCGAGAAAGAGTGAATTTTGAGTGATTACTTTAGGCACACTTTTCGAGTGACATTCATACATGGCGCCAGCGAGGAGAGAAAAACCACAATTCGTCGGGAAGGGAAAAAAATATGTATTTTCTACATATTAGTAGACTTCAAAATTAATTAAGTCTTTGAACCCTAAATTGTCAGATTTTTCGGGGGCTTTGCCCCTAAAGCCCTTTCAAAAGAATTTTGAGCGACACCCGTCCACGCCCACTCTTTTTTCCCGTCGGGGAGACAATGACCTCCCCGTTGGAGATCTCGGACCCCATTGGGAAATCCTGGGTACCACCACTGGTTAAGAAAGTATAATACATACTCCAAGTATTGAAATACACGCCATCGTGTTGGGATTCAATATTTCGACATTAATTATGTCATCATCAAGAATGATGATTAACCACTGGTTAAATTCACTCTTACGAGTGGTTTCAACAGACTGGTGGACCTGAGTATAGCTACTACAAATGTAGAGCGCAATAGCCTATCAGAAGGTCATCAGTGTACTGTGGAGATGAACAATCAATTTTTACACGAAAAGATCTATGGTCTTTACAAAGCCACGTAAAAGGCCATTATTCAAAGACAATTGTTCAATTGCATTATTGATGCAAATCAAATATCAAACACCTGCGACGTGCAACAGTTGTGCAAAATGACCAACGTAATCGATGACCAGGATAAATTAATGAACCTGTGAACATGCCTTTGAATGCTATAAGGCACCATGTGTTCACTTATTATTTAGCAAAAATTGACATGGTCTTTTACTTTATATATTTCTAAAATTTTTTATATAATATATAATTTTTATATATATAATATTTTATATAATTATATAATATATAATCGTTTATATATTATATAAAATATTATATATTATATAATAAATTATATATTATATAATATTTTATATATTATATAAAATATTATATAAATATATAACGTAAAAAACCATGTCATTTTTGCTAAATAATTAGTGAACACATGGCTCCTTATAACATGCTGCCTTGAATCATGATGCTGATGCTGATGATGACGAGGATTATGATCATTATGATGATGATGATGATGATAATTATGATTATAATAGCCTATATTATATTATTTTATCATATCGTTGTTGTCGGTTATGATATTAATAACAATAATAAGGGAGGGTGTTTTTTTTAATAACTTCGTTTCACGTCTCCACAAAATGTTAATATAATTATCGGAATAAAAAGCATACACATTTATACACACCCTTAGCCTACACAATTATTCTGCAATGCGCTGATATCTGTTAAAATGCTGGATATACAATATTTTGTTAGATTAAAATGGCGTTCATACTTAAAAAGTACGGAAATAAAGCTTAAAAATCGGAAATATGTTGATCATTCTTTCATATAGAAATGTATGACCATTGTATTATAGTTAGATTTATATTCCTGCTGATTCTAGTTATCACTAAACGTTAACAACGAAGGTATTTTATAAATATTTTATTTTCTGTAAAAGTAGTGTTTTTAATTACACTGAACAATTAGTCCCGATATTAATCTATGATCTCATTTTATAATTTCAAATCAAACAGAAAAAAAGTTGTTTTGATTGCAATTATTGCGAAGGCTCCAATAATTAATGTATATATGCCTACTGTACATCACAGAAACCAGATGATACTATTAGAGCTTAATGTAAAGTAATTCAGTAGTAGTACAGTTGGCGCACTAATTCAAATCACCTCTCGGAATCAGAGTCTTGAATTAGAGGTTTGCAATGTAGGCCTACTACATTTAATTTCAGTACATGGAATATAAAAAGCTCAATCGGAAACCACTGATCTCTAAATCTGTGATACTCTATAGAGGGCGAAGTAGCTCTGCGTTTTTGCCAAAGATACTAGAAACTCAAGATAGAGTTCCCCACAGACAAAAAAAGTGTTCCACCGAAATGCATGGTGGGAATACAAACAATGGGGCGCCGCGTACGGCTGGATCTAAAAAACTTCTGCCACCGTTACATAACTGGGAATACATAATCTCCTTTTGCGGAGGTTGAAATCGCTGCCATTATCCATAAGATACAAATAAATAAATCAAAACAATAAAATGATAGACACAAAAGCGCAGAATCGTATGACCGGACGCGATTTTTTCCCGTACGAAATATTTGCATGAAACTTCACTCGGGCCATCTCGGATTGACTCGAGTGAGTACGATACGAGGAACAAGAGCAGACACTTCGCAATGTCGTGACGCTCGAGTTTTACTATTATTG